CCTTTAAGAAAGAACACACATAGGCCTTAAATGTCCCTGAAATCTTCCCAGTGAATGGAGGAAATAAAGTTGCAGATAAATTGCTGCTGTTGTCTTATCTAGAGCAAAATAAACAATATGAAGAAACAAGAGCGCTTTCATTCTTAATAATGACTAAAAATGAATTAATGTGATATGATTTGTACAAAATTGATGATGAACTCATTAGCTATTCCCTGTGCCTGTCACTATAATTTAACATTCATTAGCAAGCACTTGAAATAGAGTACTTTTGAACAAAAGAACAGTCTTGTGCAATTGATTAACCTTTTTTTATTTTCAAATAAAATCTTATTATAGAGACTCCATCCTGAATCTTAAGGGGATGTGCCCTCCATCCAATGTTTCTGCTGATTGCCTATTGTGACAGTAAATAAATATTTTAACTAACACTTCTAGAATTTGTACTATTGTTTCAAGTACTCTGAAATACAATTTGCCTTCATTAAGATACATTAAATAGAAGACAAAAACATGTTTTGTGTAACCAGTGGAAAAATAAACAAAAAAAGCATACTACCTTTATACTTAATCCAAATCCTCCTACAGTTTGTCTTCTAATTGTTACCGTTCTTTCCTGAAAAAGTTAAATCAAGTTCAGTTAGTTTTAATATTTTCTGCCACAATATCTACATTAATTCTTTTAAGAGTAGTTTTCATCCTCAACATCATCTTGTCTTGTCAGAAAAAAACCTGTCAATTCCAGAATAAGAAAAAAACCAAGAAACTGCAGATGGGAGAAGATGATCTGGAGAAAAAGAACAGTTCTTGTCCCAGAATAAACAAATGTGTTTACTTTTAATGATACTGTTGAATAAATAGAAAGGACTGGATTAATCTTGCCTGAGTAACATGCTAATCAATATTTATAACATCAACATTTTCCCTGCATTATGCTTTCTTAAACCCAGTGTATAGAACTGATATATATATATATCAGTGTTGCTTATATATATTTATAAAAAGAAAAGTATGAAATACTCTGTAGGCTCTTCTGCCCATTTTCATTATAGAATAAGATTTAACGTTAGCTACTTTACTTAATTTTGACACTAACATTTCACTTGTATACAAATATACACATATGTGCATACTCACACACACACACAAATTTTGATGCCTTTACAATTATGTAGACAGACGATGGCTGGGCACAATATGTGAAGGAAGTTCCATACACTGAAATAATTGAGAATTTGGACTTACTGAATTTTGGGGGGAAATACCGAGATGCCACATAATTTCTCTATTTCTGATAAAAATGAATGGTGTAAGTACAAATAAAACAAATAGTCATGAACTAATCCATTGCACTGGATGGGGAAACAGGATGGGTGGATTGAACCCTGCAGGTAAGTAGTTTACATTCAGCCAGAAGAACAGCTCTGGGTAAGCTCAAAAGCTTGTTCCTTTCACCAATAGAAGTTTCTCTAATAAAAATATTACCTTGCCCACCTTGTCTTTCTAATACTTGCCACAACAAATTTTCAACTTAACTACTGGTTAATCATCTCTGGGTAAAGGCTATTTAATTTTGTTTACATTTGTCCTGGTCATACATGCTGGATTGTAAGCCTAAAGTATATATTCCTATATATGGTTACAAAAAGGTACAGGATAAGCACATTTGTCAGTCCTGCTATACAAGTGTGCCTTTCTCCTGGTTAGGTTGGTCCTCTAGGAATGGAGGAGTAATTCACTATCCAAACCTATTCATTCTTTGGCCTCTTTACTCAGTTGCCTTTTTGGATATCCATTTAATTCTCACTAGGATGTAATTTTTATGATGCCAATACATGCACACTAGAAACTGGGTTGAGACCACAAACTCAGTTCATTTAGCTCAGTCAAAAAGCCTTTGATTACTATGAGATACCAAGATACTTTCATGAGAAGGATAATATGAAAGTAAAAATGACTCTGGGTCAGAACTCAACATTTTAACATTTTCCTTTGTGTGACTATGGCATCTCTGTTGTCCCCTATTTTTTCTCCTATCAGTTGTCAAGGAGTCATCAGATGCTGAAGAACCCAGTCTGTTTCTAGTTTTTTGGTTCGAAATTCTTTTAAATGTCTCTTTTTTTCATAAGTGCACAAAACCTTATACAAACATTAGCTCAAGAAAGAAACCAACAGAACACCACTGGCCATCACCTACAGTCCTCAGCTAAAACCTCTCCAACGTATCATTAGTGATCTACAACCCATCCTGGACAATGATCCCTCACTTTCACAGGCCTTGGGAGGTAGGCCAGTCCTTGCCCACAGACAACCCGCAAACCTGAAGCATATTCTCACCAGCAACTACACACCGCACTATAATAACTCTAACTCAGGAACCAATCCTTGCAACAAACCTCAGTGCCAACTCTGCCCACATATACACACCAGCAACACCATCACAGGACCTAACCACATCAGCCATACTGTCACTGGTTCATTCTCCTGCACATCTACTACCATAATATGTGCCATCATGTGCCAACAATGCCCCACTGCTATATACATCGGCCAAACTGGACAGTCCCTACATAAAAGAATCAATGGACACAAATCAGATATTAGGAATGGCAACATACAAAAACCCGTAGAGGTACACTTCTATCTTCCTGGACACACAATTGCAGATCTAAAGGTAGCCATCCTGCAGCAAAAAAACTTCAGGACCAGACTTCAAAGAGAAACTGCTGAGCTACAGTTCATCTTCAAGTTTGACACAATCAATTCTGGATTAAACAAAGACTGCGAATGGCTTGCTAACTACAAAACCAGCTTCTGCTCTCTTGGAATTCACACCTCCAGATCAGCTACTAGAAGTGGGCCTCATCCTCCCTGATTGGATCCACCTCGTCATCTCCAGCCTGATTCTGGTCTGCATATTTATACCTGCCTCTGGAAATTTCCACTACATGAATCTGACAAAGTGGGTCTTTGCCCACAAAAGCTTATGCTCCTACACTTCAGTTAGTCTATAAGGTGCCACAGGACTCCTCGCCGATTATTCATTACATTATATATATATATATATAT